GACACAATGGATGTATGTATGGATTGTGATAAGAGTTGTAAGAGCCCCCAATAAAATGATTTTAAAAAGAGATGACAAGTCTACTTGAACAGATAGCCTTATCTTTCACCCTAAGAGCAGCTGGAGTGTTTGAACTTCAGCCTTGATGTTAGCAATCCAGTACTTATCCTACTGTACCTAGAAAGCAGGTAAACCTAAAAGGAATGGAGCCTAAACCACTGATGGACACACATTTCCAATGTCCAGGGTAGGCAACTCCCCCAAACACATATACACAGCCCCTTTCCTAATGCTGATGGTTCCCTAAATACGGGATTTCCTGACTGTGAACAAAGCCTATTGGGGATGAGCAGGGAATCACCTCTGTTCGCACTTGCTTAGGACTCTAGCAAGTGTGCTGGCTGGCCTTTGATGCAATATTCCTACCATACAACGCAGTGCACAGAGAAGGCACAGCAATTCCTTTCTACCTGCTAATGTATCAGATGCCTGCAAAGGCTATACCCAAACTCATCAAATCAACTAAGCATCACAGTACGTGTGCTAAGGCAATCAAAAAGAAATGATGCCTTCTCCCACCTCCACTCCCCAAAAAATCTTGATACAGAGAGAAACTACTCAACTCAAAAATAAGTACTTCACACACACACACACACACACACAGAAATGAAACAAAATCTTACTCATTAATCAACTTCATGAAAATACAAATGTCTCTATGCCAAAGAAAATTACTAAGGAAAATGTTTTAAAATAATTTCTCTATTATGTGCCATATATATTCTAGGGTAAGCCAAAAAGTAGTGTTACTAAATCACGGAACCTTTATTGAACAAGAATATCAAAAGATGAAAACTATGGTTTCTCAGCATAGCCCCCAACAAGGGCTAGCTACTTCTGAAGGCAGTATTCCCATCTCTCTAAACTTTCCCCAAAGAATTCTGCACTCCTCAATTGACACCACATCAAAATGGCAGTTTGGACATCCTCCAAGCACTCAGATTACATTCCTTTTCAATGTTCCTTGAGTTTATAGAGCAAGGTCAGGACTTCATGGTACGTGGTGTAAGGATTCCCAAGGAAATTCTTACAGGACAGTCCTTACTGTCTTCGAAAAATGAGCAAGTAACATTGCGGTGACAGAAAACAAAAATTTCTCAGCACAATTTTCCTGTCCTTTATTTCACTAACACAGTTTTCAATT